TGTTGTCATATTTTCAATAAATATCCATAATTTCTTTTATTAAATTTGTTTGGAAAGGTGAAATTTATGTAAGCTCCGGCGTGATTCGAACTCATGACTTGATTTATAGCTAACTTTGGGTCAAACCCATTCTGCGCTACGCGCCGTTTTTGAAAAAAAAAAACAGCAAAAAAAACCCCCAGAATTATATTCACATTCATTGTTTATTTCAAAAGTACCTTACAATATATGAATGTGTCGATGTATCTATTTTGTAAATGTCCGATATGCACATGGATGCATTCATAACAATGTCAACCCGTGCACGCACGGGTCAAAGTCTAGTTGTTTTATAAAATATCTAATAAAGAGATCTCTCTCTTTCTCTCTCTCTTCAAAAAATAAATGGGGGGGGGTCCAACCCCGGAAACTCCCTCCCATCTGGATTCGCCAATGTACATATGGAATTTTCTCACAGTTAACAAGTTTATAAATTTTTAGACCTAAATATACTAAATAAAAGATCACTGAATGAATATGTCATTATCAATTTAAATGTTTCATACGGTTCATAGGAGTTGGCATACCTATCAATTTTACCAAAATTTTTCAGCAAGTACGAGGGGTTATCAAAAAGTTCGTGGACTAACGCCATAAGTTTAAAACCGCTTTAAGTACATCAATGAATTTTAAGACATTTAGTAAGCATCATCTTTTCTATCTATAGAATAAACCATACATCATAAGTTTTAATTTTTAATAAATAATTAATGTTTTTGTAAGTAATGGTATGTCCAGGCGGCGCAACCTCAAATATGACGTTTTTTCTACCTGGGTATAATTGAGAAAAACTCTCTTGATATGAGCATTTGTCATAAAAAAAAATCCCGTTAATTCAGGAATGTGGTACGACACAATTGTTCCGTAAAATTTGCAATTTTTACCCCATTCTGTAAGTTCTATGAAATTTTATGATTAATTTTATATGGAGTGTCCAAACAAGGGTTTGAAAATGACGTCAAAAAGGGGGAGGGTTTCTTTTTCCAACATTCTATACAGTTTCGCACCTGGAAAAACTGGTAATGACTTAGGGAATGTTTAAAGGGGCTACAGAAAAATGAAATGCATCCAGAGTGCTTATTTTAATACCCACAAAGATTCAGAGAGATGAAATACGCACAGTTAATGTCGATTTGTTGTCAGGGTGTCAAAAGTTAGTCACGTCGAGAGTGACGTTGATCATTTGTGGTAGAAATTGAACTCCAACAAGCTAAGTATTCTGGCATAATCAAGTGAGGATCTTTCCCGATGTATAGATTCATTTACAATATTATGTGCTCTGAAATCAGCTGTTTATGACAGTGTAAAGTCATATAAACAATACTGGCTTATGTCCTTACTTAACTCCAGGTAATCTCATCAATATAAGTGTATGAGGTAGAGAGAGCGGACATTGAGAAACAATGATGTTGTCGGACGTCATGAAACTGAACGGCGACAGCGCCGGGTGATCATATAATGTCTTTTTTATTTTAGAATAATTTGGCAATTTATCAACGTATCAAGCTAAAATTTTCAACATTTGTTAAACTTTTATTGTTTTATGTTCCTTATAAATTTTGTAAGCACAGACTGCCTAGTATTAATTTTATCGCATCAGTCCACGAACTTTTTGATAACCCCTCGTAAAGAAACGTTACGCCATAATGAAAACTATTTATTATTATAATATTACCCTTTTTATTATTTACTGAAAATTTCGGTCAAAATGACGGATAAAAACATGACACGGTTTGTATAAGCAAGGATGCTTAGAGACGAATTCGTCAAAGCTAAAAAGGTTTATCAGACATCCACCGGGAATCTGGCTTTAAACCATGTTCATTTGGATTGTAAACCACTTTATGTGAGCATTACATAATTTTAAGCTCATTTTAATTATGATATCTTTCACTACCTTTATATACTGAAACGCAAAAGAAACGCAACAAGCAGTAATCTACAAATATTTGAACCTTTTAACTAATGATTTTCAAAACTGATTACAGTTGAGTTAAACTAGATTTAAAAACATCAGAGATTTGATAACAATGTTAAATGGTTATCTTTTAACTTTAGAAAGTAACACATGACTGTTACCCCCCCCCCCCCCCCTTCTTAGCCATTCAATTATAGCGTGGAAGACTGCCATGCACAACAATTGCAGCTTGATTTCCACGATGCAATAGGTTCATCAATCTCGAGATCTGAGCGAAAAAAATATTCTTTGCCATTTTTAAATGTCCGTTTTTCAGATGACGAAGTCGAATTTTCTCTAACCTAGCGCAGTGTAGTAACACTTGGACTTCCGGTCCACGGACTATCATTCATGCTAATGATACGTATGAGCCTGTTGAGGTGTGTTGTCGTGCATTTTTGCATCTGCAATTCTCCATCACCTTTATTTTCAGATTTTTCAGCTAGAGCATTTGAAATGCGTACTTAAGTCATTTTCCGCCATTTACAAAACACGGACAGGTGACGGAATCACGGATGTACGGAAAATAGAAAATAGTACAAATCATGGATTTTTTTTTTGCACGGATGATAAATTCGTCCGTGCATCTCCGTACATTTAAAAAATTATACCTATCATTATGAATATTATTCCGTGAGTTCTATAATTAAAAATAAAACAATAAAACAATGCACGGAATTTATTTGTCCGGAGAAAATGTTACAAAATTTAATAACAAAGATTTATAGGATAAACATCATTTATGAACTCATTTTCAGGAAGCCTTGGCATCTCTTCCGGAAGCGAAAGAAGAATTTATTTTGCGGAATATTGCTGCATTACTTATGATTAACAGATACAAACCCTTAAAACCCCATATTTTTGTCAAATGTTTTGTTAAACATGCAATTTTTGAATTCTGTTAAGCGGGCTCAAACTTAACTTCCGGTTATGGCATGAAAATCATTCAACCGTTAAATTATCGATACTTACAATGTTAAAGATATCCGTTCTTTTTAGATACAAAATTATATCCTTTATATGATTTTCCCCTCTAAAATAGGATGTTGCGTTTCTTTTGCGTTTCAGTGTGTAATGCAAAATGTTCTTGGGTCATAAAATAGGCCGGGATTCATAATCTCGTAATCATTTTTAATGCTACGTGCAATAGATTTATTTCCGGTGTTGAGTAAAGGTAAAGGTAAGTTTCTTGTTTACTTGTGAAAAACCCCTTCATTGTTAGACAGACGTAAAGTAAAGGGGTACGTTGAATTCCTGTACATATCACAACACTATTTTAAATTAAAACAGTTTTTATGATAAATAGTAGGGGAAATTTTGGACGATTGAGACAAGTTAAATCTGTTCTTGCCTGTGTTGAAAATATTGAAGAGCAGACGACATTCTAAAAACATCTAAATTGTCCCAAACTATTGATAGAAATATCAATGATGACTAAACGGTAAAGTGCATGTAATTTAGTATTTTCTGCCTCAGATGATTGTAGTCAGATACCAAAATACGGAAATCCATTCCCCCCTTAACACTGTGTGACCAACCCCCAGTGCAATATAAAACGTGTCGCTTCCCATTCAATAAAAAAGAGTGTAAATGATATTGTGTACTAATGTAGGAGTGTGGGGTATTGTCTCTATTAACACCATTTGTTATCTACTGTTACCTGTTGATGACTAGGTACATGATCATAGTGATTTAGGGTAGAATGACCTTGATTTTGTGTAATTTTCCATGGCTGTGAACACTTAATGTCAAAGTTAATTTTTACTTCCTCTGGATAATATGTAGTTCCTGCTCAAATAGATGATATGCATATAATGTAAGAAAATTATAAAGTGTTGTACAGTTTTTTGTTTTATTCAAGATCTGTGAATATAATTATTTTTGGACTGGGTGAAACTGAAGGTAAGAACAGATGATGTATGATAAAAAAAAAAGAATACTACTTAATGTCTATACCACCTTCAGAAATCTGTCAAGATTATCCAAGTTCTTGATTTAAAACCTTTCTTCTGATTAGGGTGGGTGTGTGATATTTATCACTTTGCTGAGAGAACAGTATATCAAAATGCTGTTTTCATGAAGAAGAAAAAAATGAAATCCTAAAAAGTTTTTTTTTTTGGTTGTCTTTTTTTGTCATTTTTCAAAATAAAAAAATATTCTTGGAAGAATTTGAGAAGGCAGATTTTCACACTTAAAGTTAAGCCTAAAAATGGAACTTTTTAATAATAAAAAAAAATAATTTAAAATATGTATTTGGAAACATTTAATTGTGTTGCTTTCATTAACGATCAGACAGGTAGGATAGCTTTTTGTGTTTTTCTTGCCATATGCAGGTATTCACATCAGAATACCCCTTGACTAAATGCCCGAATAATTTATTTACATAAGAAAACTTCAATGGTTAAACCTTATTTTATATGATTGTACATGTATTGTAATACATTAATGAAGTTAAAATATTATTTGTTACATATTTTGTTCATAATTTCCAGAGTAGTGATAATTATCTGCTGTCCATTAAAGTAATTTAAGTGTAAATTGACAGCTTGATAAGGTCACAAAGGTCTGTCTATGTCAACTCTTCATCCTTTATCAGGGGTTTATCAGTTATACTATCATTAAGTGACTTGCTTGATTTAGGTTATTCCTCTGGACTTTATTTTATTTAATCAATAAAAAGAAAATTGATGATTGAAAGAAGACATTTATATATGTACATGATTGCTTGTCATTGGCCTGTTAACTCAATAGTTAGATTACCTGACAGTGTGTAGTTTAATTTTGTTTTGTTTTGTTTTATTTTTTATAGGGGAGGGAGGGAGGGAGGAGGGGGGGGGGGTCTTAAGTAATGGTCTGGTCCAATGTGTTTTTCAATCCATAAAATTAGAGCATTAATGATGAAGATGAATGCATGATGTGAAAAATCTCAATTAGTCCTGTTACAGAGAAGGCTTAACTTCAGATTCCGTCAATGTTTAAAACTCTGAGTCTTACACTTTACAGTATGGGGAAGCCTGGTGAAGAAGTAGACACATTTGTCAGACTTGATGACAAGATTTTATGGATTTCCATGGCAACAATTATCTTTAATCCTCTGTTTTGGAATGTGGTATGTACAAGTAAGTTTATTTCTGAATATTTTTTAGGTATACTGTTGATTTGTATGGTGAGAGAATCATTCGAAAGGAGCTAGTATATTACCAGATGTTTTTGTTGACTTTTTCTGAACAGAAGTTAGCCATATTTTAGATTTCCCTTTCATATTTTAGCTTAATTAAGTAATCAATTAGGTCAGGTGTTTTAGTGCAGAATATTTAGTGCATATTTCATAAGATACTTTCAATAATCATTAAATTTAAAGCACATCACAAAATGATAAAGAGACATCATAAATTTAATTTTGTCATAATTAAGACAGTGCAGGTGTTCCATAAGTAGAGATTAACATCTTAAAGTATCTCAGAATAGAATTTCCATGGCCATCAAGGATGATAATATAGCTGATATAATTTTTAATGAAAAGTGACTTAAATTTGAGACAAAATTGGACATCAACACTTAATTCCTGTCAATTTAAGAAGTTTCTGGAATTTCCAACAAGACTGGTGTCAGAGTTGTGCTTTTTGATTAGTTGTGACCATTATCTTCTTTTTTCACATTTACAGGTCGCTAGATTAGAATACAGACACCACATAATATCTTCAATATTCGGGGGCCCAAGAAAGGGTTGTGTTTTTCTGGCCATAACTATTGTAGGACTAGGATTTTTCAGGGATTGGTGGTAAGTGCTGATTTCTTACGCTGAGTCCTGATTTCTTATAATAACTTATTATGAGTCTTAATTACTTAAAATTACTTATGATGAGAACTAATTACTTATATAGCTTGTAATCAGACATCATTACATATGATTATTTAGGATGAGACATGGAAACCTATAATGAGAAATAATTACTTATAATGCATTACTTATGATTACCTATGATAAGAATTGATTACTTATGATAACTAAAAATGAGACCTTATTACTTATGTTGTGACCTGATTACTTTTATTACTTATTTAAGACCTGATTACTTACAATTACTTTTGATGAAACTATAATTACTTATGATGAGACCTGATTACTTTTATTATTTATGATGTGACCTTATTACTTTAATAAGTTATGATGAGACCCGATTACTTTTATCAGCTCAGGTTCAAGTGAGCTTTTCTGATCACATTTTGTCCGACGTCCATCTGTCTGTCCGTCCGTCCGTCTGTAAATTTTCATATTTTTGACTTCATCTCAAGAACCACCGGGCCAATTTCAACCAAACTTGCTACAAAGTATTATTGGGTAAAGGGGATTCAAGTTAGTTCAAATGAAGGCCCACGCCCTCTTTCAAGGGGAGATAATTAGGAATTAGTGAAAAATTACTGACATCTTTTAAAAATCTTCTTCTCAAGAACCACTAAGCCAGGAAAGATGAAACTTATGTGAAAACATTATCAAATAGTGAAGATTTAAGTTTGTTCAAATCATGACCCCTGGGTATAGGGTGGGGCCACAATGGGCAATTAAAGTTTTACATAGGAATACAAAGGAAAATTCTTTAAAATCTGCTCAAGAATAGCAGAGCCATGATTGGTCATTTTTATATGGAAGTATCCTCAAGTTTTGAAGATTCAAGTTTGTTCAAATCATGACCCCGGGGATAGGGTGGGGGTGGGGGGGACAATGGGTGATTAAAGTTTTACATAGGAATACATAGGAAAATTCTTTAAAAATTTTCTTCTCAAGAACAGCAAAGCAATGATTGGTCATATTTATATGGAAGCATCCTCAGGTAGTGTAGATTCAATTTTATTCAAATCATGACCCCCGAGGGTAGGGTGGGGCCATAACGGGTGATCAAAGTTTAAAATAGGAATACATAAAAATTCATTAAAACTCTTCTTCTCAAGAACTACTTAGGTAGTTTAGATTCAAAGTTTATTCAAATGATGACCTCCAGGGGTAGGTTTGGGCCACAATGGGGGATGAAAGTTTTACATAGGAATATATAGGAAAAAATCTTTCTCTCAAGAACGGAAAAGCCATGTTTAGTCATATTGATATGGAGGCATCCTCAAGTAGTGTAGATTCAAATTTGTTCAAATGAGAACTCCTGGTGGTAAGGGTGGGCCCACAATGGGGGATCAAATTTCCAAATGAAAGAGACAAACTGACAGGAAGCATAATAAGTGATATTATGTATATCCTCTGCTATGTAATATTATGTATATCCTCTGTTATGTGATATGTTGTATATCCTCTGTTATGTGATATTATGTATATCCTCTGTTATGTGATATATGTATATCCTCTGTTATGTGATATATGTATATCCTCTGTTATGTGATATATGTATATCCTCTGTTATGTGATATTAATATCCTCTGTTATATGATATTATGTATATCCTCTGTTATGTGATATATGTATATCCTCTGTTATGTGATATATGTATATCCTCTGTTATGTGATATTATGTATATCCTCTGTTATGTGATATATGTATATCCTCTGTTATGTGATATATGTATATCCTCTGTTATGTGATATTATGTATATCCTCTGTTATGTGATATTATATATATCCTCTGATATGTGATATTATGTATATCCTCTGATATGTGCTATTATGTATATCCTCTGTTATGTGATATTATGTATATCCTCTGTTATGTGATATTATGTATATCCTCTGTTATGTAATATTATGTATATCCTCTGTTATGTGATATTATGTATATTCTCTGTTATGTAGGTTTAAACTTGCTTGTGACAGTCAGCCAGAGTGGCCATTCCTGTATGACAACAACTTCCTGTTACTGGGCTATAGCTGTATTCTGATTGGTTCCCTGCTTGTGTTCTCTAGCTACTGGGCTTTAGGTTTCTATGGAACCTTTCTAGGTATGTATATAAACTTTATAACATCGTTGTAGGTACCTTATGATCCAGTCAATGTGTTTGCCTCTGTAGTCTTTAATTATAATTAAAATAAAAATGACCATCAGAGGTAGGGATTTCACATTCGATTTACTTTGAACTGGTCAAGGTCATAACTAAAAGTCAAAGGTTTGAAATGATTTCATTATTATAAGACACTCTCACATCCATGGGTATTTTTGATTTTAAGCACATTTTGATTGAATGGAGAATGATATAAACTAAATTGATAATTAGATTATTGCACAAAGTATATCCCAAAAAGAGTGTTGAAAACTAAGAAATCCATTTGGGTTTGATATTATGTCTTCCTGCATTTAAAAATGTTGCTTTAAGACCTCATAATTATTGTAACCACATATAGTGCAAGTTACAATTTTGATAATTGGGGCTTTACTGACTTTTATGTAGAACTGATAGCTAAAGTACTTTTAAACCTTAGTGATACTTTAGTGATACTTTACTTTTCATGTAGGAATAATCTATGAGTTTTGCAACATTCTTTGTTTGTTAATATTTCATCTCCTAAACCATTTATACCTAAGTGTATATAGAATAAAAATCATGCAGGTATAAAAATTGCAAAGTTGTAGATGAATTTTGATAAATTTTGAATTTTATTGGCAAAAAAGGTTTATAATTACAGTAATGCCTATGTTTAACTTTGGATTTTTATCATTGTAGGTGACTATTTTGGAATATTAATGGACGCTAAAGTGACAGATTTTCCATTTAATGTAATAGACAATCCTATGTACTGGGGGTCTACTCTTATATTTGGAGGAACTGCAATAGTGTAAGTATACTGTTAGGAAATACATCTCTATGGTCCTCCAAGAAGAAACAATTTCAGTTTGGTCAGCTGTGTAAAGTCACAGTAAGCAGAGGCAATTTGTCTGAACACAACAGCTGACTTTGTGTGAACATTGCACAACAGCTGACTCTGTGTGAACATTACACAAAAGCTGACTTTGTCTGAACATTGCACAACAGCTGAACATTGCACAACAGCTGTCTTTGTCTGAACATTGCACAACAGCTGAACATTGCACAACAGCTGTCTTTGTCTGAACATTGCACAACAGCTGTCTTGTCTGAACATTGCACAACAGCTGACTTTGTGTGAACATTGCACAAAAAATGACTTTGTCTTAACATTGCACAACAGCTGACTTTGTCTGAACATTGCACAACAGCTGTCTTGTCTGAACATTGCACAACAGCTGACTTTGTCTGAACATTGCACAACAGCTGTCTTGTCTGAACATTGCACAACAGCTGTCTTGTCTGAACATTGCACAACAGCTGACTTTGTCTGAACATTGCACAACAGCTGACTTTGTCTGAACATTGCACAACAGCTGTCTTTGTCTGAACATTGCACAACAGCTGACTTTGTCTGAACATTGCACAACAGCTGACTTTGTCTGAACATTGCACAACAGCTGTCTTTGTCTTTACTTTGGACTAAGTAGCGTATTTTAATCATTTCTTTTTACCATACATTCATGGGATTTTGGAAGAATATAGAAAGATCATCAATTTATTTCTATCAAAATAAGTACTTAAATATTCATTAAAGCTCAGATTTGAATTCTTTTTTTTGTAGGAAAGCTAGTCAAGCTGGTTTGTTATTAACATGCCTTGTCGGACTGATCTACAAAGTAGCCCTCTTCTTTGAGGGGTAAGGTTTTTTTTTTATTCTTAAGTAAAGCTTTATAAATAGTAAATGAGGCACTGGAGATTTTTTTTTTCTTTTGGTGAAAAGCAAAGCTTGAAGTATTAAGAATGAATAACCTGAAAATTATGTTATGAAAAATATTGTCAATTGTTGTTTTAGTTCTATTTATAAATTAGAAATTCAAAATATATTTGCATTAATTTTTATATATTCATAAAATTCAGGTTGTTCCAATTCCAAGTTGCTGAGAAAAAAATAACTGATAATTGTAGCAATCATCTAAAAAAGAAAGAAGAAAATTGTATTCTGTAGTGATCACATTAGTAGTATAAGGCCTTCATAAAGCATATTTCAGAAAGCAGTTTTATGGAGAGCTGCACTTTATGAAGGCAATGTCTGCTACGCCTTTATGTATTTATCATAATAAAATATGTTCACTTCAAAAATCCATCCAAAAATTACAATTCCATTCTTTTGTCAAGAAAAAACCTTTGAAGCCAATAAAATAAACAACAAACATCAGAGATAAACCAACACAAAATACAATTGTAATATTTGGTTGATATTTTACACTTTCACAAATCTGAAGAGTTTACATTCATACATACAGTATTGAAGAAGCATTCTGAGAGTATTGCATTAGCAGTACTAGTCCCCTACCAGCAAGTGTAATATGGTTCCCGTTAAAAATTGAAAATGCCATAATTCTGTCAAAAATCAATGAAGCGGAACGAAATGCAAACTTGATCTATAACTCATCAAGGTTAAGTTACAAACCAAAACTCAGCTCAATATCTGCAAGCGTTTAGAAAAAAAAATTGCAGAAAACCGTGAAAAATTGAAAAGGTCGTAATTCCGTCAAAAATCATTGAAGCGGAATGAAATGCAAACTTGATGTGTAACTCATCAAGATACACTTGCATACCTAAAATCAGCTTAATATCTGCAAGCTTTTAGAAAAAAGTGCAGAAAACCAAGTGGGACAGACTATAGTCCCCTCCTTTTTCACCGGTAGGGGACTAATAAAATGTGAATACAGTAAAACAAACTTATAGCGAACATGCTTATAACATGTATAATGAAATGACACTTTCTACAAAGTGATTTTCATTCCCTGTGACTTTAAAATATATTGTAACCTAATGGATATAACCAATTACACTTATAATGGTCCCTGGCACTTTGTTATAAGCATGTTTTAATGTATATGTTGTTAATGGTTTCATGTTACTGTTAACATTTTATATGATCATGAATATATATATATATATGTTCATGAAAATGCCTCAGTGAAAGATGAAATATGTTTGCTGAAAGAACCTCTTTTTCTCAACAGTCCATTTACAAAAGATATCTACAGAAAAAGTGATAAAACAGCCTAGAGACTTTATACCAAGAAAAGGGCAGCAGGAAAGAAAAGCCTGAGTAAATGTATCTCCAAACAGTGAAGAGTTTCTGATGAGGGAAGTGTTTTAAAAGTTCAGTTTGACTATGTAAATGTGCGTGGTTGTTTCTATTGTAAATATGTATATCATAATGTATTAAGTATTTATTTACTCCATGGTTGCAGATCATTATTAAAATATGTGTTACTTTGTCAGATTTTTATTATAATTATACTTAGTTATACTTAGTACAAAATAAATCATATTTATCATTAAAACGGCAAATTGGTTTGCATCTGTATGTTGATTGGTTGGTTGGTCAGTCAGGTGGTAGACCAAGTGCTGTCCAATTGATATATTGATAAACCTTTGTATGTTGTCCCAATAGGGCATAAGTGGAACAGTGCGTTAGTGACACAACACGCCATCAAGCTAACGCAACTTTTCACAACACGCCGATGAGCTATCACATAAACACATCACACCATCTTTTATATTTGTGTTTGAATCATGTTTAAAAATAAACGGAAAATTGGTTAAAAGCTCATGCAACTTAATGGTACCTCTCTATCAAAAAATATTCCACAAAATTTTTAACAGTGGTTGTTTCACCTCCGAATGGTTGTGTGGTGAAATAATTCCTATCTATAAGAATAAAGGTGATGATACCGAACCCAAAAATTACCGCCCAATAACCTTAATTAGTTGTGTTGGAAAGCTATTTACATCCATTTTAAATAATAGACTTAATAGATATTCAGAAGAATTTAAACTAATTAATACAAGAAAATCAAGCTGGATTTCGTAAAAATTATGGTAAGACTGATCATATATTTACTTTGCATACAATCATCGAAATATTCAAAAAGATAAAAAGAAGAATCTTTTGTGCGTTTATTGATTTTGAAAAAGCTTTTGATTCTATGTGGAGAATAGGACTCTGGAACAAAATATTATTTGATTGTAATATAGATGGAAAATGTTTTAGGATTATCAAGAAAATCTTTGAGGGTATCAAGACAAAACTAAAGTAAATGGTGTTCTATCTGACACCTTCCCTTGTCAACTTAGTGTAAGATAGGGTGAAAATTTATCCCCTTTTCTGTTTTCTCTCTATTTAAATGATTTAGAATCATTCCTCACCATGAATAATATAACTGGTCTGGAGAAACTATCTGTCAGTGAAATGATTGAGAATGAACTTCATGTATATATCAAGCTTTTTGCTCTGTTGTATGCTGATGACACTGTATTATTTGCTGAAAACCCTGAGTCATTACAAAATATGTTGAATTGTTTTCATGAATATTGTATAAAATGGCGGTTAAAAGTGAATGACAAGACAAAAATAATGATTTTTGGAAGAGGTCGAAAAACACAGGATTTATATTTTACTTATAATGGTTTAAGTCTAGAGGTCGTTGACAGTTATAAGTACTTAGGAATATATTTTTCAAAAGCAGGATCTTTTAAGCAAAATATAAAAGAACAATACAATAAATCTGTTAAAGCTATGTATGGAGTGATATCAAAATGTAAACAACATAATCTTTCTATGGATTGTCATGGTTGGTTGGTCAGTCAGGTGGTAGACCAAGTGCTGTCCAATTGATATATTGATAAACCTTTGTATGTTGTCCCAATAGGGCATAAGTGGAACAGTGCGTTAGTGACACAAAACTCCATCAAGCTAACGCAACTTTACACAACACGCCGACAAGCTATCACACAAACACATTACACTATCTTTTATATTTGTGTTTGTATATATTAAGGAGGCTGGGGGTTAACAAATGAACCATCAGATATCACTTATTATTTTTTTTTTTTTAGATATGATATCTTAAGCTGTCAACTATCATTTGGCAAAGAAAAACTTCATACATTTTAGTTTTAAAATTTGATATATAATTTTTGTATATCTTTATATGGAGCTCTTCTTCTAAAGGAGATCAATATAGTCTAAAAATGGCCATGACCACCCAGCAATCTTAAATGCTGAATGACAATGTCTAGAACTACATGACCAGGCAGTATTTATAAGATACTGATCTTTCTAGCTTCATTACGACCAGTATACATTATAACAGGCTCGATTTTTTTTAAACATCAGAAACATTGCACCATTTTATTTAAAAATAATTATTTACTAAAGAAAAATAACTGGCTTAATACTGAGTTTTATAATATTGGACAATTTTTTATTTTGTTGTATTTTTTATCTCCTTTGGTCATTATTCAGTAAAATCTTTTATTTTTCATTATTATTACACATAGGTTATTTTTTTGTTCATTAAAATGTGATGTTTCTTCGAGCGTATCTGTATCCTTGAATTTGTTCCTGCCTTCATAATATTTTCTGCATTTTTAAAATTATTTTTCAAACATCGTTCGCATCAGATAAGATTAATGTGCGTCAAAACTAATTAAAGATAGACTGTGTTTGCAGTTACTGCCAGGTTTATGTAAAATTTTGAAAGAGCGTTCTCCAAAAGTGCATGCAAAAAATAAATAAATAAATAAATAAATACGCAATGTTCCTGACTCATTAGTTGTTTTTCATATGACTAACTCACCTTCACAACTTGTTTCATCTGGAGAAAATTATTCGTAATAAATAAAAAAATCAAGTTCCCAACAATGTAAAAAAGAAGACAGCAGTCTACGGTATGTATTTCATCTTTTTTTTTGGGTATCTTAGACAAATTCATACATTTTTTTGTGTTTTTATTAACCTTCGCTTTATTATACATTTATGAAAATGATTTATAAATATCAATTGTTGATAACTTGCTGGATATTGGTACAGTGGACCTGTCGTGATGAGGTTTGTGTTACTGTTGTATATATACTTTAATTTTGATGATCCTTCTATAAGATGTGTATGTTTTGTGTGTGTGTATGTATGCAAGGCACGTAGTTTCGGAGGGGGGGGGGGCTACCCCTCTTTTTTCGCACCAAACATAATCTTTTACTGTTGAAAATGTTCATTAAAAGGGAGATTGCCCCCTTTCCTTTTTGTTGCAATATAATCAAATCAGGGCAGTGTGGTAATGTGTAAATAAAATTTAGCTTATGAAAGAAGTTGGAACCTACGCCCCCACCCCACCAAATAGAACTTTTGGCCGCCCCCTTACTTTACGTGCCTGTGTTTCGGTGGGTATACCTTAGGATACCGTGAGAGACACAATTACTGCATTACACATGTAGACATGTAAAGTGTCTGGATTATAAAGGGTATTCCCAATGATGTAGGGAAATATGCTGATGGGCCGTATGGCTTAAAGTTGTTTAATAAAGAATTATTATAGTTATAAAAAACAACTATATTTTCTCATGATTATTAGAACACTCGAATCTCATCATCTTATGCGTCCAGATGTGACAGAAATATACCGTACTTGGGGGTGCATGGGGGGTTGGTGGGTTGGTGGAGTTGTTTATTTGTTTTCTTTGTTTGTGTGTGTTTGTTTGGTTTTTTTTTGTTTGTTTTTTTGTTGCCGAGGCATAATGTTTACGTCTTCCATATCTTCAAAATATGCAGTAGTACTGTAATGTTAACGTTATGAAATGCCGTACGTAGAACGCCTGAGGCGGGGAGCAGGGGGACCCCAGGCCCCCAACTTTTTTGTGAGTATAGTATTTTGCTATAGAAAATTTTCATATAGCTGCTAGTTCCCCCTTTTAATTGTTGCTGTAAGGTTTTTTTTATTTATTTATTTGCTTTTCAGATTTTTTTTTTATGGGGCCCCCTTTTAAAATCGTTGTTAGGGCCTATGTAAACAAAATATGTAAAAAAGAATATATATATATATATATATATATATATATATATATATATATATATATATATATATATATATATATATATATATATATATATATATATATATATATATATATATAAAGCATTTGATTTATTTCAATGTCTATCACATACTGTAATCATTGGAAACCTTTTTTTAAATTATAAACAGCGGCATCCAATCGTACTAAATTTAACAACTGCTTGTTTCAATATACTAAACCGTCCTTCTTTTGCTTCTTATTTCACTCCAGATATTTTCTTGTCAAATGTAAATATAACTGATGATTTTTCTCATAATGAAATTGAATCACGATCCATTATTTTTGAGAAGCGTTCTATACCTTTACAGAGAATTGTCCAAGACTCGACTGTTAATAATTTTGGTTATAAATTAGTAGAATTTGGTAAAAAAAAATGATATTTACATAGTTAACAGTCGTTTAGGAAATGATAAAAATATCGGTGCTGTTACACAGGTACTTGTGGACAGGACCCTCCCCCCCCCTCCCCGGTATTCTACCCCGGGGCTTCTTGGACATTTTTTTTCACAAATTATATTTATTGCACTTATTCATCATGTGTACCAAAGGAAAAAATCGTGAAAACCCCAAAATAATCGTTCCACACAAAAATACCCCACTATACATTATAAGAAAGAAAGGTATGCCACTCCGGTTTGTTTACGTTGTACCACCACTGGTCTTTCTGGATTTAAAAACATGTATTTATTTTATTTTAACCTAAAATGTCGGTTCACATTGTCTCTACATATATTTCTGTTTTAGTTCAAGCTATCGGATTGACTCTGCATCTCGTTAGAATCCCACAATTAATCCTTAAACAGCATTGCAGACCTAACACCAGACAGACCTAAGCGTAACAAACCATGGTTTAACAAAAACTGTTATTACGGCTAGGAAAAAACTTCACTTAGCAAAGAAAATGCTCAATAGACATAATTCAGCAGAAAATAAATTAAATCTTGTTGCCATGAGTATAAAGAATATAAAAAGACGATGAATAAATGGATACAAAAATATAGAAATGATTTATCAGATAAATTAAAAAACTACGTTCAAAAAACTCGAAAGACTACTGGAAAATTTTGAACGCTTCTGATAAAGAGAAAAAGTGTGCTGTTAATAGTAATGATCTGTTCAAGTTTTTGAAAAATGTTAATGAAAGTGACCACGAAGAGCAAAATTCATTTTGTGATAATTCAGCATCTGTCACAAATGAGGTAAACTACATATCCGATGAGTTTTTAAATTCTGAAATACGAGAAGAAAAATAATACAGGCTTTAAAAAAATTAAAAATGGCAAATCACCAGGATATGATAAGATTTTGAATGAACACATTTCATCAACATTATCTTTATTTATATGCCAATCTATTTAAAAAAAAA